CATACGTATGTCTTTAAATGACCATTTAACCGTTGTACTATTCTATACCTATACTCGTTATTTCTCTATTATTGTTGCTTTTTTATAAGGAATGTGTAATACAATTTTAAAAAGTAAAAATTGTTTTTTATTGTGTATATGTGTACAATTATTGTACAATATAATTATCTTGACTCCTCTCAAAGTTTTACATGGTGTGCATGTGAAACTTCCCTATTTAATAGCGTACGTATGGCCCTTGATAGAATTAAATAGCCTATCTACGACACAGAATCTGCACGCAATCTGCCGTCAGTCTGTTGTCAGAGTCTGTCGGCAGTCTCTACGCGCAGTCTGTCACCAATCTGTCGTCAGAACAGATTTTGTGTGCAATCTGTTGCCATTCTGTCTACAGATATTGTTGACAAAATCTGCTCGCGCAGGTTTGACTCTCTATGAAATTGCTTGTCCGATTTCAATAAGATTTATCATGGATATTCTATTTAATAAATTTTGTTGGAAATTATAAAAAAGAATTTTTGAAAACTTTCAGAAAACAACATTTTTTAGCTATATAATTATAATTTCTTATTTGGCTTTTATAAAAATTTTTGTTTTTCTTAAAATTTTTTGAGGAAATAAAAAATTAACAAATAAATATTTTACGATATAAAAGTAATTTCAATGTAATTGTTCAATGTGCTGTCTATTATTCTCTTCGATTTCCTGTAGGCATGGAATCAAATTGTAGACGGCGTTTTCGAGTATTTTAGGTATTATTTCGCGAATAGCTTCTGTAATCGAATCCTTTAATTGTTAATCCTTTATTTCCTCAAAAAAATTAAAGAAAAACAAAAATTTTTACAAAAGCCAAATAAGAAATTATAATTATAGCTAAAAAATGTCGTTTTTTGAAAGTTCTCAAAAAATTTTTTTATAATTTCCAACAAAACTTATTAATGCCCTGAATATCCATAAATAAATAAATCTTAATAGATAAATCTAATAAATAAATCTTATTGAAATCGGACGAGCAATTTCATAGTATGAAATTTTAAAGTAGGGAAGTAACTTTATAACCTCTGTACAAAATAGAGCATATAAATTGTCACAGGCTAATATCTCAAGAGAAATGCATATTCAAAAAAAAGTTACGAACATAAGTTGTATAGTTTCAAAAGACGAATGTTGTCATATGATGGTAATATTATTATATTATTAAAATATATTTTTAAAATTTATTTCAAGGTCAATATCCATTTTTTTAATAAAATCATATGAATATTTTATAAGATATTTCATATCTTATGCTGAAAACTATCAGAATAAATTACAAAGTATCTCAAAAAATATTTATTTTTTATCTTAATACTTAATACGCAAAATGGCTAGAAGCGTCAACTTGAGTTAAGAGAAAACATAATTTAATCTAAAAAAATCGAAATTTACCTAAATAACTTTTAAAATTTATTTTAATAATATATTGCCATAATAATATTGCCATTTTATAATGACAATATTCCTTTCTTACTGAAATCTTACAACTTTTGTTTGAAACTTTTTTTCGAATAATACACATTTCTTCCGAGATATTAGTCTGTAATATAACAGTTCATATGTTCCATCTTGAATAAATCTGAATAAATACGCATATAAATATGTATATATATTTACTTTGAATCTTTGGAAATTAGGAAAAAAATCATGAAAGAAGACATTCAATTTAAACCATAAGAAAATAAGTAATTTTCATAAATCGGTATTTCGGCCATATTAAAAGCATATGAAGGTAATATGACCACTTTTTCTTATTTTTTTTAAATTAAATTTTTCAACCATTAATCATATTTTTTAACCATTAATGCAATTTGTAATGGAAGTAATAAAAGTTTGTAACAAAAGAAGTAATATTTATTTAAAAAGACGCGTTACAAAAACATATTTTCTTGTATCCATTTACCACGCTTATTTTTTAGAGGATCAGGATTCATATCTAAAAGTAGAAAAGTAAAAATATTTTGATAATGCTCAATTAATATAACATTACAAGTTATGGCACTATAGGTTGGTAATATGGTCAAGGATGGCCATATTAGCAATACGTGATATTTCATAAAAATGTTCTTAATATTACATTACTGGTTAAAGTAAATTACATTAGTGTTAAAATAATATTACATTACTGGTTAAACTAAATCTCGATATCATTATTAGAATCAGCATAGAGAATTGTATATTAAGCAATTATTCAACTAATATTATAAATTAATAAACATGAGAACAATAACAATCTTACCGGAGCGCAGTACGAAGTGTCTGTCATCAAACACATAAACTCCATAGAATGAGAACTATACGCGATATTCCAGAACGGCAATTGTGTCAGGTGTTCTAATAACATGTAAAGAAGAACATACTAGTTTGATTTGAATTTTTCTATGCAAATTACGTCTTTTACAACTAATTGATCATATTAAAAACCTGGCCATATTATTCTCAGAGACCTTACATATAATGTTAGAAATACAATCACTATCATAAAAGTTTACATATTTATTTTGTGCGTTACAAAAGGTATCTGACATTCTATAAGAAAACATATCTTTTGAGGATTTTTCAAAAACAAGTCCTTTTATTGGTTCATTCATCGTCAACTGTTTTTTGAAGTGCGTCGAAAAAAGAATATACATATTAACATTTATAATGGTAAAAATATATATTTAGCTCATTATCTAGGGATGATATCCAGTAAACGCTAGATATTGTTGGAATATTTATAAAATGTTTTTAAAATCCAAAATTAACATTCCAAAAATATCCAAAACTATTCCGGAATATTCATAGAATGTACCCTTATAGAAATATCATACTAAGAATCATTGATAATTACTTATTATCCAGTATTTTTAATACTGAAAATAAGTAATTATCAATGATTCTTAGTATAATATTTCTATAAGTACAAGGTATATTCAAATAAGCGCAAAAAGTTTCACTTTTTTACAAATATTGGCGAATTGGTTGAAATAAAAAACCAGTGTTTGCTGACTTGAAATTTAAGATTACTTGATTCCAAATGTTATATCACACTTAAAAATTCTCACTAACACTGCGATTCGAACATGGACTTGAGGTACCTTTGGATTATGAGTCTATTGCTTTAGACACTATACTACTTCGATCGATATAAACGTCTTATATTTTGTCTATATATGTTGCAATTAACGCAGTAATATAATTTTTTTATAATAATTTTAATAAAAATTATATATTTTGTACTTTTATTGTTAATTTAAACCTTAACTAATGAAGTGAAGTCTACGAAACACCGCACATTCCATTTCGGTCTTAAAATTTTTATAGTAAATTTTTTTTATTACTGTTATTAAATAGATAAAGTCATAAGAGGTTATAAAATTCGAATGATTATAAAAGAGCACAATAAAAAAAAGAGAAAAACCCATCTTACCATATAAAATTTAATTTAATTTAATTAATTAAATTTATATTTAAATATATAAATCAATATATAAATGGTTGCATTAGAGATACTCCTTATTATAAGGAGTATCTCTAATGCAATCATATCATATAATAAATGAAATTAGCTAATAATAGTAATTTCTCACGAATTCTCAGAATATCTCAAGTAATGATTTACAAAATATTCATTATAATAAATTTCTGAAGAATACTTTAAAATAAATTAAACTCGGGTAATTTTTCGAATATTCATATTTTAATTCTTTAGATGTTCTTTAAAATTTTCTATGAACTTCTATTCATCTCTGTGCTATTTGGGTTGAATATTCCTTATTATATATACAAATAGTATTTATAGAATATTCTGTATATTCTACAATTATTTGAACATTCTGTGAACATTTCTTTAATATTTGGTATATACGGAATTTCTGGAATACAAACGGAATATTCCAGGAATATCTAACGTTTACTATGAACATATGGGTATGAACATAGATAAATTTTATAAATTGCGAGATAAAATTATAAAAGATTATTAACGTTTAAAAACATTATATAAAATTCAATAAGTAGAATAATATATTCTAAACTATATTATTTAAAGTTATATTTCTATACAGGGCAAGTTAATTAATTATTGCTATCTTAAATATCTTTGAAACTAGAAACAAAGATTATTTACAGACTTTCCACTTAGAAAAAATACTTTTATGATGGTTTTCTAGAAGAAATAGCTTTGATGATCTTAAGATTATCTTTATTTTTGCTTCGAAAATGTGCTTCAAAGTTATTGACAATAGTTATCGACAAACAATAGTTATTGACTTATCCTATATATAATTGATGCTCACTCAAATTTATACAGAATGTTGGAAGCATTCATCATTCATATGGTGGATAGTACACAGCATACTGAGTAAAAAAAATCTTAATAGACAAAGATCGAAACTCAGTCGTTTCTAAAATAAACAATTTTGTATATAAGAAATTTTTCCGAATCACGACGTTGCGCAGCGGAAACATTTCTATTAGCACAACCATACATAAAATACATATGTGCCATTTTTTTATTATATAATATGTTAATAATATGTTAACATTTTCAATACGATAATTGTGTAAACATTAAACAAATCCACAATCGTTGGTTGTATGATGACAACTGAATGATGATTTCTAGTGAAATCTTTCTAAAGTATGTTCGAAAATTGAATAAAGACCTTCAAAACGCGATTTGTAAAAAAAAATCTTCACGTTGCATATGACATAAAAGTTAATAAGCTATCATAATTAGAATATATAACATTGTTTATATTTCAGTTTGGTAGGTATTATATACTACATGAAAATGCTGAATGTTTTTTTTAATACACTACTATTTTACAACAAATATGGAATTTCTTCTGCTATTTTAAATATAATATATTTATGATATTTATGACAATAATTTGATGTATAGAATGTAATTAAAATTATTTTTCAGCTATTAATATAATTAATATTGTTTTTAAACATACCTTAACCATATACATAAGCAGATATTGATCATCTAACACGTGTCTTAGTACTTTGTGGTACACCCACAGAAGAAACATTAAGCAAAATTACTAGTCAAGAGGTAATTTTTTAACTCGTTATATTAATTATATTCCATTTTAAGATTAAACATAAATTTAGTCACAATTTAGTCATTAAGATTCTTGGTCCTACGTCACGGAACTCTTGATTTATGACGTCAAAAGGGAAAAAACGCATGCCTAAAATTCTTACGAAATATGCTGAAATAAAAGAATATGTTCATAAGATGAACATTGGTATTAATTGAGCATATTTGTCATATATTCTAAAAACTCTTTTTTTTTTAGCAATGATTAAATAACCATAAAATTAATTATAAAAATTAAAGTAATATGCAATTTTCCTTTTTAACTCTTTCTTCATAATTTGTCATGTTAATTTTATGGTTATTTATTGATTGTCAAAATAAATGAAAAGTTTTCGAGATATTTTATAAATGTACTCAATCGATCAAAAATGTCATTTTATGAACATATTTCTTTATTTCGACGTTTTCTACAAGAATTTACGTTTTCTGTAATGTTTATTCTGATGTCATTAATCAAGATACCCGCGACTTGGAGACATAGGAATTTTAAAGAAGTACGAGTTTATTTGTTATTCTTAAAAATATTTTTTTAACTTTATTTCTATATTTGCTTTTTATTTATTTTTCAAGTTTAAATTTTGTAATTTTGTTATAAAAATTTATCATTAGAATATATAAAACGTTCATACAAAAACAATTGTACAAAGAATATGGACAGTCAGGTAAAAGTTGCAACACTTTTATCTTGATGAGTTTCACGATACATCCTGTATCTAGTAGAAAAACATGTTTTTTAAGGAAATACATTTTCTTATTAGGAATTGTCCACAATGTGGTCGCAGTTACATTTTAAAGTCACTAGTCTGTGACCATGTATATATTTTCTTTGCGTACACTCGTGAAAGTTACAAATTTTATTGAATTCGTCAATAATGAAAACATAAATACACACACATACACACACACACACACAGTGTTCCCAAAGATGGTACCAAATTTTAGGGATATGTACTCGTTAAAACAAATCAAAAACTCTTAATAAACAGTATTCCGAAAATCTTTTATTTCTGAGTTATGAAACATTTTATTCTGTGAAAAATATAAAATAAATTAAATCTACAATAAATGTTCAATGTGCTTTCGGCTCATGTCAATACACATTTTGGCATGTTTCGTTATTGAAGGTCAGAGTCCAGGTTTATTTCGTATTTGTTGACAATAGTTTCCAAGTCTCTTAGTCAGTTCATTCACGGACGCCCATATGTGACCTAATTACGCAGGGATTGTTGTATTCAACTTTGGATTGTGGACCGTGTCTAGTTTTGTGTTATCTGAAAAATGGCTAATTTTTATATAAATTCTGAAATGACGGATATTCATTTTATGTATGGCAGAGCAAAGGACAATGCTTCAAAAGCAGCACGCTTGTATCATGCTTATCCGAATCGCCGACAGCCAAGTAGAAGAATGTTTAACAAAATTCATCAACGCTTACGTGAGACCGGACAGTAAATTTTAGTTATTTTCTATTTTTCACAGAACAAAATGCTTCATAACTCAGAAATAAAAGGTTTTCGGAGTACTGTTCATTGAGAGTTTTTGGTTTGTTTTAACAAGTACTACATACCCCTAAAATTTGGTACCACCTTTTAGGAACACCTTGTATATATATACAGGGTGTCCCATTTTGAGAGTGCACCCCAAATAACTTCCTTATTTTTTTGTTTTAGAGAAAAATGTTTCAGACAAAAATTGTATGGTTTCGAGGGATCACAAGGTAGTACCATTGGTTTGACCTTGAATAATCATTTGAAAATTACGTGAAGGTCATCTTCAATTTCTTAAATGGAACATACCATTTTTCATTATTCTTGTAGCTTATTTCGAGAGCTTTCCAAAACACTTTAATAAAATATTTCTCTATTGCGTACTTTTCAAGTTATAAAGCTCTAAATTTGCAGTATTTTGATAAAAATACAAATTCGTTTTCCTGTATCTTACATGATCCAGCCAGTCAAGGCAAGATAATCTGAGCATGATCCAGCTATTCAAGGCAAGATTCGGATATGACCCAGCCAATCAAGGCAAAATTCGGACATAATCCAGCCAGTCAAGGCAAAATAGTATGATCCTGCACTAACTTTCGAATCGAAAGAATTAACAATTGCACTTTCACGATTGTTATAGTTTATTGATTGTCAGTCAGTGCAGGCAGACACATATGTATTACAACCATTAACTTTTTCTTGGTAAGATAGAAACTTTCGAGATTTTCGCCAAGCCTTTTTTTCTTTACAAAATTATGGCTGCTTATCCACCAAATGAAATTATGGACATGATCCGCATTTTGTGTGAGGCCAGGAATAATTAATCGGTAGCAGAAAGGCTTTACGCTGAAAGATTTCCAGACGCCATCCTGATAGGAGAGTAATAAAAAAACTTTGCGATAGAGCTAAGCAGGGTTTTCTAAAAAGAAACTGGCGAAAATTGGGTCCTGATGAGGTAACATCATTGACTGTTATAGGTACTGTTGTTTTAAATTCTCAAATCTACAAGACAAATTGAGAGACAATACAGTATATCTAAATCAACAGCCAATCGTGTGCTCAAGGTCAACAAGTTTAACCCATACCACACTCATCTAACTCAGCAATTGGAAGAGAGGAACTTCCAACGCCGAGTCCGTTTCTGTAACTGGGTTCGAGATCAAATCCAACAAAATCCCCGGTTCGTTGCTCATATGCTTTTTTCTAACGAAGCCAGTTTTGTAACAGAGGAGGCGTTAATCAACATAACTGCCATTATTATTCAGATATTAATCTATATTGGCAAAGAAGCCAAGAGTTCCAAGGGCAGTGGTCTATTAATGTTTGGGCAGGCATTCTGGGAGATGTTATTGTTGGTCCATATTTTTATTAAGAAAACCTCAATGCGGCAAACTACTTAACATTTTTTCAACATGATCTGTCTAACCTCTTAAGACATGTCGACAACAATGTACTCAGACAAATGTGGTTTCAACAAGATGGAGCGCCGGCTCATAGATCTCAAGCCATTATACAATATTTAAACGTAAAATTCCCGAATAGATGGATTGGTCTGTGCAGCCAAATTCAAGAATGACCCCCAAGATCACCCGACTTGACGCCCCTAGACTTTTATTTCTGGAGCTACATTAAAGATAAAGTGTATTCGAAAATGCCAACAACCGTTGAAAATATGAAAAACCGGATCAGAGAAGCTTGCAGAAATATTAATGCAGGTGTTCTTCAAAAAGTTAGGGACAATTTTCAGCATAGATTAGTGTTATGCATACAAGTAAATGGACATATTTTCGAACACCTAAAGTAATTGTACAAAAACTCATCTTGCCTTGACTGGCTGGATTATGTCCAAATCTTGCCTTGACTGACTGGGTCATATCCGAATCTTGCCTTAAATGGCTGGATCATACTCAGATTATCTTACTTTGACTGGCTGGATCATGTAAAATAAAACTACAGGAAAGCGAATTTGTATTTTTATCAAAATATTGCAAATTTAGAGCTTTATAACTCGAAAAGTACGCAATAGAAAAATATTTTATTATAGTGTTTTGGAAAGCTCTCGAGATAAGCTACAAGAATATGTAATGAAAAATGGTATGTTCTATTTAACAAATTGAAGGTGATCTTCACGTAATTTTTAAATGACTATCCAAGGTCAAACCAATGGTACCACCTTGTGACGCCCTCGAAACCATACAACTTTTCTCTGATTTTTCTCTAAAATAAAAAATAAGGAAGTTATTTGGGGTGCACTCTTAAAATGGGACACCCTGTACACACACATACACACACACACACACACACACACACACACAGGGTATCCTGCGTAAGACGTGTCAAAAGAAAAATATAAGTAGAACAGATAAAAGTGAAAAAAAAGGTCATTTTTCAAACAACCATGTAAAATTTCGAGATATTAATTAAAATAGTTGGGCATATTAAAGCGCAACGACGCGACAGACGGAACATACGGCTCGCCGCGACCGGCGAAGAAAATGGACGAACGCACACACGGAGCTACTTATTTTCGTATGTCAAACGGCCCACTTCTCTGGCCTACAAGATATGCTTGCAAGCAATCGTCCATTTTTTCGCCGGCCGCGGCGAGACGTATGTCCTGCCTGCTGCGTCGCCACGCTCTGATATACCCAACTATTTCAATTAATGTCTCGAAATTTTACGTGGTTGTTTGAAAAATGACCTTTACAATTTTTGTTCACTTTTATCTTTTCTACTTATATTTTTCTTTTGGCGGGACACCCTGTACGCACACGCACGCACACATACACGCACACACATGGTGTCTGAGACCACCCGTACACCCCTTTTATCTCGGAAACAGAGCATTTTAGAAAAAAACGTTTCAAAGAAAAGTTGTATGGTTTCGAAGTATACATTAGATGGTGTCATTGATTTGACTTTGGATGGCGCCGCCAAGGTCAGGTCAACGTCAACTTTGCTTTTTTAAATAGAAACATATATTTTTTATTACGGAATTTTATTCTACGTAAAGAAACAAACAGCTTTTATTTGAAAGTTTTTTTCATACGATCCTCATTTTTAAGGTATTTACGGAAATATATACAGAATTATTGGTTTCAATAATTTTTTACTCGAATTCTATCAACTTTATCTAAAAAGAGCAAGAGACGAAAATCATTAATTCTCTTCTCATAGAGCTCTGAGAATTTTTTCAGAATTTAATCTTTTTAAGATTTCAAAAAAATGCTAGAAAATGTACTACTAAAAAGTTAATACAAAATTCCGGAAAAATTCTCAGAGTTCTATGAGAAGAAAATAGATAATTTTTATCTCTTGCTTTTTTCGGTAAAGTTAGTAGAATTCGAGTAAAAAGTTATTGGAACCACATAATAGTTTTATAGATATTTCCGTAAATATCTTAGAAAATAGAGGTCATATAAAAAATTTTGTGAAACAAAAATTGTTTATTTTCTTACGTAGAAT